GTGGAGGTGCGGCTGTCCGGGGCGCGGATCCGGGCGGGGCTCCCGCGGATCTGGCATGTGGTGACCGGCGAGGGAGCGGCTCGAGGTGTTCCCAGCTTGCTGGTGCTCCTACGACGGGTCCCGGCGGCGTCCGGGGCGCGGATCCGGGCGAGGCTGCCCCGGATCTGGCGCGTGGTAGTCGGCCTCGAGTTCGGCGGGCTGCGGGCGGTGCTATGGCGCGTTGGCTGCGGCAGCGAGGAGGGAGGATGGCGGCGGGTGCGGGGCTGCCATGACGGCGCGTGGTGCTGTGGTGGTTTTGCTGGCCGTGTAAAAGGCGGTTGGCGCTGGCGAGCGGTGTAGAGTGCTTGGCCGCTGTCGGTGGTGATTGGCTGTGGTGAAGATGGGTTTGGTGAGCTCCGGGTGAAAGCCTAACTCGACCTCGGTCGATGCCGGCGTCGACGGCGTACTAGGACGTCGTTCCCTTGTTGGAGGCGGCGTCGTGGAGCCCCTTCACCTCCCTCCTCATCTCAGCCACGGGGCTCTTCGGGTGAAAACCCAAACTTCGGCCTTGGCCGAAGTGGGCGTCGGCGGCGTTTCTTGTCGCTTCTCTCTTGGGAGTGACGCCTTTGGAGGTCCGGTCCTTCATCTGTTGGCGGTGGCTCTATGGCTTTGCACCTTCGTCATCGGCTAGGCGAGTGCGCGGCCTCGGGGCCGGCATGGAAGTCGGAGCGGCGGCTCCGGGTATCCCCTGTCCTCGCGACCCTCGTTTTTTAAGGCCAAAAGGCGTTCGTGTTCCAATGCACTGAAGAAAACGCCCACGAATTCAAACGTCGTGTCGTCGTCACAAGCTAGTAACAATTGTTTGGGGCTATCTTTAGGCCGTGGAAGCACATGGCAAAACTAAATTAACTTATCACTAATCTTCGATCATTGATGCGAAGCTGCCGTGAAGTTTCTCGCAAGGGAAACGCACGCACGAGGACGAAATATATAACTGACCACCGAGGCGGCCGGAGCTAGATACAAATACATCCCGGCGAAAATCAGGCAGGCGGAGCATGGAAGGGAGGAGCACGGCCGCCGCGATGTCGTCGGAGCCGGTGAGGCTCATCGGCTGCTTCGCCAGCCCGGTGGTCCACCGCGCCGAGCTGGCCCTGCGCCTCAAGGGCGTCCCCTACGAGCTCATCGAGGAGGACCTCAACAACAAGAGCGAGCTGCTGCTGACGCACAACCCCATCCACAAGACCGTCCCCGTGCTCCTCCACGGCGACCGCTCCATCCCGGAGTCGCTCGTCATCGTCGAGTATGTCGACGAGGCCTTCCCCGCCGGCCCGCCGCTCCTCCCCGTCGACCCCCTCGCCCGTGCAACCGCCCGCTTCTGGGTCCGATTCCTCGAAGAGGAGGAGGTACAGCAACGGCAGTAATTCAGCACCCAACTTTCAGTTTTCATGGTTTTCACTCGATGACTCTGCTGCATGGGCATGCAGTGCAAGAAGCCTATGTGGATCGCGCTGTGGGCGGACGGCGAGGCGCAGGCTGCGGCGGCGAGGGAGACGAAGGAGAAGCTGGCGCTGCTGGAGGCGCAGCTGCCGGAGGGGAAGAGGTTCTTCGGCGGCGACGCCATCGGCTTCCTCGACATCGCCGCCGGCGGGGCGCTCGCGCACTGGATGGGGGTGTTCGAGGAGATGGCCGGGGTGCGGCTGCTCACCGAGGAGGCGCACCCGGCGCTGTGCCGCTGGGCGAGGGAGTACAGGGCCGACGAGACCGTGCGTGGGTGCCTCCCGGACAGGTCCCGCGTGCTCGCTGCCTTGGCGGCGAGGAAGGATCTGTATGTCTCCATTGCTAAGGCCATGGCTGCACAGAAGTAGTAGCACGGTTCACGACCAAGAAGGGGATATGCATGCTTGTGACCATGGCGTACTGGTCAATGATGCTGAAATCAGGGCTATGTATACATGTCGATGCATATCCATAGTGGATCCAATGTTCTTGGAATAAAAAGAAGGGAAAAGTGCGTCCGCCGCCGACTATGTATACATGTGTCGATGCATATCCAAAGTGTATCCGATGTTCTTGAAATAAAAAGGTCCGCTCTATAAAAAAGTCATATGTGCTAGTGCTCAAGGATCTCATTTTTCCTTGGAAAAAAAAAGAAAAAAAGTGCGTCCACCGCCTCCTATGTTTAAGGAACCGAGCAACAAACGTACGTCCTTATGCTTATTCACTCTTCATGCTTCTCATCCATCCCCACCCGTCCAAGTTGAATCTCTAAATCGGGCCAGACCGGTCTGGACGTTCGAATCGCATAGAGCAGCTCCAAATCAAGGTGCTCTCGCGGAGTCCGGATGTCCGCCACACTGGACTCTGATACCCCGGACCAACCCAAACCCCATTCGAAGCATGCACATTTTCATAATCTGCCACTACTTCCACGCTCGGCGAGATGTCGCCTTCGATCGTGAAGGGGGCGGCGTCTTCATCTAGTGAAAACTCGTTGTCATTATTCCTGCGGAAGGCGAAACTATCGAGCATCATCCAGCTTGGGGCGGAGCCAACGACGGACACGTGAGTGGATCGGTGGGACATACATTCTCTTCTTCTAGGGTTTCGGTGCTTGATGTCGACTTCCGAAAAAGGGGATTTATGATACTACGTACGTGACCGCGCACGATTCAATTCCCTTCTTTCTTTTTTCGGATTGTGCAAGTATTGTGCATTGGCTTTTATTCATGTACACATGTGACAGAAGGCTTGCCAGCGGGTTCATACCGGGAGCTCCTATTTGGCGGCCTCAACGCCGCCTAGGCTAGTTGGCGCTTGGAGGCGAGTGGTAGTGGGTAGGCCCAGCATCACTTGCGCCCAGAAAGAAAAGAAATCATCAATAATTAGTGCAAGAAAACAAAATCATCAACACTATTATTAATTTTGCGTGATGTGGGGTTCAAACTTGCATGCCATAGTGGACGCACTTAGTGCAATAACCACTGCACCGCGATCACTTTCATGTTTTATTCCAAAAACAACGCTATTTCACCCTTGTTTCAGTCCTATTATAAATTATTTGAAAAAGAAAATGTTTTTTGGAAAAAAAATCCACAATTTTTTTAAATGTTATTGATTTTGCAAAAAATCATGGATTTTTAAAAACATGTTCACAAATTTGGAAAAGGTCGATCAATTTTGAAAAATATTCACGAATTTGGAGAAAGTCTATCGGATTTAAAAAAATGTTCATAGAGGGGGTGTGCGCCCGTTTGCGGAAGGGTTTACCGTCCATACCTCGCCTGACGCGAGAAGGCAGGATCGCCTGCCTCAAGTGCCTGTGCTATTGGGCCGGCCAAGCGCGAGGGGCATTAAGCGCTCATTTTTTCCTATTTTCCGCATCTTATGTTTTCTTTTCTTATTTTTTTATTTGAAAATAGTACAAATATATAATACAATAATCCCTTTACGTAAATCTCTGAAAAATATAAATCATGCATTTGAAATATTTTAAACATGTATTTTTAATACATATATGTAAAATGTACAATGTGTATGAAAAAACATTGACATAAAAATATATGTTTGAAAAAATGTAGTCATGTATTTGAAAAATATTACATTGTACAAAAATGTTTTTTCTATACAAAAAAATGTACAAGGTTTATGGAAACAAGTAGGCATAAAAGTATTTTAAAAAAATGTAATCACGTATTTGGAAAATGTTACAATGTATATAATTTTTTCTGATATATAAGAAAATGTACAAGGTATGTGGAAACAAATAGGCATAAAAATTATTTAATTTTGTTAAATGTATATATAAAAAATGTTGCTGATCTATAAGAAAAATGTACTACCTGTATCAAAATATATGTTTGGACAATGTTAACCTTGTATTTGAAAAATGTTTAAATTTATTTTAAAATGTTTATATGTCTACCAGAAAACTGTATAATAGGTATGGTAAATAAAATAGGCATCAAACTTATATTTCAAAAAATATGATCATGCATTCTAAAAATGTTAAACATGTACTAAAGAATGTACCTGGTGTGTATGAAAAATGTAGACTGTGGACTTGTGTATTTGGAAAATTATTGACCATATATTCAGAAAAGTGTTCAAAAACATGTATTAAAATAAAAGTGTACAACATGTATTTGAAAAAAAAAAGTAGAGTTGATTAAAATGAACACAGATGCTTCCTTCCTTGCGGGCTCGGTATCTAGCATGATGGGTGCTGTCGTCAGGAAGAACAGTGGAGTTCTGCCGTTCTTCTCAATGGGCCCCCAAACTGGTATTTGTGGTAGTGCGGAGGAAGCTGAGGGAATTGTAGTTCTTGTTGGTCCGAATGAACTGTGAAAACTGTTTGACGGCGCAATAATTGCTGAATTGGTCTCTCTACCATTGGTTCAGGCCCTAAACTCTGAAACAATTTTGAACAGTTCCAAGCTGTTCCCTGCTATCTGTGATTCCAAGGAGATTTTGAAGCACTTGAAATCCCATCAGGTCACGTGGGTTGGTGGCGACCAAAACAAGTTTGCTCACAGCCTTGCAGTTAATTTGGGCTAGAACTTCAGGCGACTTCTTCTGTCTTGCGGACACCCCTAGAGAATTCCGGCAAATGCTACATGATGATTGCCTTGCAGTGTGTGATCACTCTTTCTAGTCGTTGATCTCAAAAGAAAATAAAAAGCTGGACAATGAAGAATGCTCGCACGCCCCACCATTTGACCAGGATACATCTTGATTGATACAAACCCAATAATATTTGTTTGGCTTAAGTACATCATTGCGATTACATTATGCTGGTTAACAACCATGGCTAACTCTAGCATGGCCTCATTGCTCACTCATCAAGCAAAGTTGGGTCCAAGTGGCCAGTATACCCCACAACGGCCCAAGAGCCAAGACAGGCGACAAATTGCTCTTTTTTATTATTCCATCGGATCCACCTTCCACATGCATCGACATTCATACAATACAAGTCCGGAATCATTGACTTTGTATCCCCTTCCTCGTCGTGAAATGGGGTGCTACTTCTGTGCAGCCATGGCCTTGGCAATGGAGACGTAGAGGTCCTTCCTGGCCGCCAAGGCGGCGAGCACGCGGTCCCTGTCCGGGAGGCACTGCCGCACGGTCTCGTCGGCCCTGTACGCCCTCGCCCAGCGGCACAGCGCCGGGTGGTCCTCTTCGGTGAGCAGCCGCACGCCGGCCATCTCCTCGACCACACCCATCCAGTGCGCGAGCGCCCCGCCGACGGCGATGTCGAGGAAGCCGATGGAGTCGCCGCCGAAGAACCTCTTCCCCTCCGGCAGCTGCGCCTCCAGCAGCGTCAGGTTCGCCTTCGTCTCCCTCGCCGCCGCTGCCTGCGCCTCGCCGTCCGTCCACAGCGCAATCCACAAGGGCTTCTTGAACTGCGCACACATATAGCAGAGCCGTGAGTGAAAACTGAAAATCAAAGATGGGTGCTGAATTACTGCGGTTGCTGTACCTCCTCTTCGAGAAATCTTGCCCAGAAGCGGGCGTTGGCGCGTGCGAGGGGGTCGGATGGGAGCAGCGGCGGGCCGGCGGGGAAGGCCTCGTCGACGTACTCGACGATGACGAGCGACTCCGGTATGGAGCGGTCGCCGTGGAGGAGCACGGGGACGGTCTTGTGGACGGGGTTGTGCGTCAGCAGCAGCTCGCTCTTGTTGTTGAGGTCCTCCTCGATGAGCTCGTAGGGGACGCCCTTGAGGCGCAGGGCCAGCTCGGCGCGGTGGACGACCGGGCTGCCGAAGCAGCCGATGAGCCTCACCATCACAGGCTCCGACGGCAACGCGGCGGCGTCGCACCTCCCTTCCATGCGCGCCTGATTTTTGGCCGGGATGTATGTGTATCTAACTCCGGCCGCCTCGGTCGTCAGTTATATATTTCGTCCTGGTGCGTGTGTTTCCCTTGCGAGAAACTTCACGGCAGCTTGGCATCGAAGATTAGTGATACCTTAAATTAATCATGCCATGTTCTTCCAGGGCTGAAAGCTCACCTTCCGCATCTCGAAACGACAGTTATCAGCTTGTGATGATGACACGGCGTTTTGATATTTTCCACGCTAAAACGTGCCTTATTTATATCATATAAAAATCATAATACAAGTCATGTACACATCGACCTGATAAAACTGAAATGATAGTAGACGTAATCCTTTGCACAAAGAAACACCAAGCAAGAGAGAGAACAATCAAGACCGAAGAATATTCTGAGTTTGACACTAACACCCGTCACGTGCCTCCGGCACCACCACAACTGCCACCAAAGGAAAAAAAAAGAAAAATCACCTCTTCACCCGAGCTCGACGCAGCTCCATCACTACTATGCAACTTTGTGGACCTCTGACTCACCAAAGCCGTTGCCATTGCCATTGAACGAATCAGATCGAGGCAACACCCCGAACACGCCATCAAACTCCAGATCTGATACCCCCATACGACTAGGACGTCACAAGAGTAAGCTATACCTACCCGCACTGATCCACTCCTAGAGTACCCCCAAGCTCTGCGTTGGCGCTAGAGCAAACGCCATTGCAACGACAGAGCTCGAGGACACAAGTCCACCATGAGGATGTTGCCGCCGCCATACCATCTTTACTTGAACATACTGGTTTCCAAATTCAACCCCAATGAGGATCGTCTCCTTGAGAAGGATCTGCAGACTCTTTATTTAATGCCGTCATAACCATCGCCGAAGCTAAGAGAAACAACCCAAAACCCTAAGCTACTAATGCCTAAAACTATCCACACGCATAGATCCTAGGATCCCCTCATCACCGACGACCGAAGGTCGCCGGCAGAGGGGAGCCGTTGGAGGATGGCGGGGAGGGAAGCTCCCAGGCCCGGTCCTGAGGGGGGGGCAGCAGGGGCGGCCGCCCCGGGCCCCCACCATCTAGGGGCCCCCTCCCCAGGTACGTATGCACTAGCCCATGGCCCAGCCACGCTGCATGCAGACTCTCAGCTCAAAAGGAAAAAAAAGCACATAGATAGCCCACGACTCCAAGACATCGAGCGCTCCTTTCTCTTCCCAGTTTCAATCGCTACGATTTCTTTTGACGCTACAATCCCTAATTCCCTATTCTGCTCTGCCGCCGGACCCTGTGGCTTCGATCCACCACATGCCGACGCCGACGAACTCCGCTCTCCGGACTCCGGCCTCCACGCGCCGGGCGCATAGCCAGGCGAACGCACAACCAGACTGCATCAACGAGCGCCATGACAGTCCACTCCACATCGCGCCAGCGCCGGATCACCGAGCGACGGACGTGAAACCGAGGTATGATATTCAGAAATTCAACCGAGGTATACAGTTAGTCGATGTACTTACAAATTCAACCACTTTAGTCAGAAACAATTAAACTAATGATGAAACGCTTAGATTTTAGTTGATGGTACCATGATAGATTTTTAAAGTTGAAAGTTCTTAGATTTGATTGAAATATCTTCATAGGAAGTTTTGTAGGATTTTTGTCACACATTTTTTCCCACTTGATTTGAGTTTAGAACTCATACAAATTGTCTTATGTGATTGTATGTGTATTCACTCAAATCATTGCAAGTTAAAGTGCCCTGGATTTGCAATTAGAAGGTTACTGTATCTATATTATGCACGTCCTATTTTCATCTTCATGCATTGTCTAATCCATCCTTCTAAAAGAACTAACCGCAAGATGTCGTCCAACAGTCTATACTCTATACACACGAAGGCCATGCTTCCCTCTAGTATAAAGAGGCCCCCGAGTCTTAGTTTCGCGCCCCGGGCCCCCATAATACCAG